AAATAATACCAAAATTAGGTGGTCAATTTATAGTCTTAAACTGGTCTTTCTTTCGCTGTTATTTATATGTAATTCGTTATGTTTAGATAATTTTAAGACATTTTTCGTCTGTGATATTTCCACCTTCTATTACATTTGCTCGGTCACAAGTTTCATGTCTTGTTTACTTTTGGCAGACAAGTTATTTGTTTTACTGTTTATTTTCATTAGTGAGTACTGATATCATAATCTTTTCTTGTGCAAATGCTTCATGTGGTATATAATTAGGCGGTAATGCTGTGGTGACCTCTCATTCCAGGGTGTAAACAGTCATTTCAACCCTCTGCTGCCTGGGCTTGGTCAACAGTCTCAACACTGATACTCGGTGTATACCTAAGTACAGTTCAGTACGGACAGCTGCTCTCACGTCCACAAAAAAATTAAAATTACACCATATCATAGTAAGTTCTTTCTGTTTAATATACCTGGGGGCTGTTAGGAAGTCAGGTAAGGTTAGATATGTTAGGTCTTCTAACAATGCTTCTGCTGCTTGTTTTTCATATCAACAAAGGTTAGGTTAGGTTTAATTTAGAAATAACCACTTTTAACACATTTGCACAAACTACAACAGTGTTCACTATAAAACTCGGTGAAATTGCGGTGTTTTTGTAATTATTTTCTATGAAAAATCGGCCAAGGGTCATTCATAAATAAGTATCAGTGTAAAAAGTGGAGAGTTTATAAGTTTACACCGGACTTTCTTATGCTGTTATTAAAATGTATTTCGTAATTTTTAGACAATTCTAAGACATTTGTCTTCTATGATATTTCCACCGGAAATTAAGGATAACCGTGATATTAATTTTTCAAGATTATTACTTTAGCTCATTCACAAGTGTCACCATGTCTTGTTTACATTTGGCGGAGGAGGTCTGACACCCGCTCACACATCTCTCCAGACCTCCGTGTTCACTTCTTAAGCGTCTAACAGCGCATGTGAGGTGGGAGCCTGTTATTGGCTATAGCGATTTGAGTATTTTTATTGGGCAAGATTTTTTTGTTTTAGCCAATGAACAATGAGTGGGTGGGTCGGGAGCAGAAATTTGAGTTGGAAGAGCTGTGCCGACATTGTAAGAATGATTATTTTGCACCAATTGCAGAGTTACACCAGAAAAATAGTGAGGCATTTTTTTTTCTTTTTTTTGGAAACCCGGTGTATTACCGAATATAGTTCTTTGTCCAAAGTGTAATAACCAGTGTACACTGCGTGAAGAACAGCATATTTGGTGGTGTCACAATAGTTTTACAGATTAAGGTAAGATGTGGGGGCATGAAGAATAGGAGGTTAGTTTGGGTAAGGTTAGGTTTTGTTGGTTGGTTAGTACAGTGAACCCTCACTTTACGCGTTTAATTCAACCCACGGTGGCCCGCATAAAGTGAACAACATAACATATGGGATTAATTGAAATAGAGACCGGGCCGACCCCCAAACTCCACTTTTTCAGACACAATACCTACGTTGTAGTAAAAATAACTTCTTAATTTTATGATGGTATGCACACACAATTAATAATTAAGAGAAATATCAATAATATTAGGTTTTTTAACACTTACATTCGTAGAAAAGATGGCTGGGCACACGGGGATGGGGGGTTGGTTCCGAGGCAGAGGGCAGATTATTGGCCCTCACCTGTATCACTTGTATCAATTGTATCACTATCCACCACAGAGGCTTGCAGGGCCTCTTTGTCAAACCCCTCAAAGTCCATATAAGTCCATATCCTCACTATCATTATCACTATCACTGACTTGGGCCGGCTGTGGTGGGTGGCGGGTGAAGAACTCGGTAATGTTTTGATGACCGGGCGACCTTGTGCGCACCCTGCTCACGCCGCTCTCTGCGTAAAAGGGTACACACACCGCGGAAAGTGAGCATTCCGGTTTCGGCAGGGTACCGCGTAAACGTGGAAACGCGTAAAGTGGGACCGCGTAAAGCGGGACCGCGAAAGCGAGGGTTGACTGTATTTTATTTATTTGAAAAAGAAAGAAAATCCAACTTTTTCCACTATGATTGTTAGGTGGGGGGGTCTAAAAAAATGATTTCCGGATTCAAAACTTGTCAAAAACCATAGGAAAAATGTTTTTTAATATAATAAAGTCCGGTGTGATACTATCAATTGACCTAAAAAGTTGTCATCTCTTATAAAAAAACTTACTATAATGATAAGAATATGTGGAAAAAATGAAAAAAATCGAATAGCTCTTTCTGGTGGTAGTCGTGTTCTTAGAAAAAAAAAGAAAGCCTGACCTAACCTTTGTTAACCCAGAGAACTCCCAAATAGTAAAAAAAAAAAAAAATGTTTAACCGATGGCAAAAGAAACGGTGATTTTATTAATGTTTTTCGTGTTTTCAATGTTTTGCCAATAGGGTAATTTATTTCTTCGGCATTTAGGTCACAAGGGAGGCCTAAGTACATTTAAAAAAAATTTTGTAAATGCATAAATCTCCCGTTAAATGTGTGTAGTGCGTTTAAAGTCCGTCAATAGTAATGAATCTTGCTCACGTCCACGAAATGTAAACACAATTGGTTGTGTATGAAACCAGGTTTACCGATTCAGTTTTTGCGTGTATCACAAAAGGTTATGTAGGTTTTTAGTAGTTTATTATTTTTGTTTAACTTCTCATGTTCAAAGACCTGGCCACTTTCAGAGATTCATTGTTGTTACTAGTGTTAAAGGAAATAAAGGTCATATTTATTTACTGTACAAGTACAGTATTAGAAAAACTACGAAAGAAAAAGTGGCAAAATTATCATCCCGGTCATGCGCATATTTTCGGAAGGTCAGAATCGTTTGAAACACATAAAAAAAACATTGGAAAAACTGAATTTCAACCTAACGTAATTTAACCTAAACTAAACCAAAATTTGCTGTATGGCCGAAACGATAATAATACCGAAGAACCTAATTGAGTAATCAATTTCTCAGTATGGTATTAAACAAATAATTACCCACTATAATAAACAGTATGCCTCCCAAGCTCGTGGATTTTTACTTTGCGATTCTCGGTTATTCGCGGATGGCACCCTGGATGTACCCAAGAATATCTGTGTGTAGTTTTAAAGTTGCCTACATTCGTTCTAGAGACAGTAATTTCCTTTACCTGTATTGTAAATATATGTGTGTATGTGTACATACACACACAACACATACACAAATAATACCTGTAATTGGAAAATCCTCTCACAAATGATCAGAAACAAATTTATTAAAAATATAACAGTCTACCCTCAAGTCCATGCTCTATTACTTTATTAATAGAGCACAGACTCGAGGGTAGACTGTTACATTTTTAATAAATTTGTTTCTGATCATTTGTGAGAGGATTTTCCAATTACAGGTATTATTTATTTGTATGTGTTTTGTGTGTGTCCACACACACACACACACACACAATACTACAGGTAAAAGAAATAATTGTCCTAAGGGCAAACACAAATGGAATATACATTTCTTTGGACACAAGTAAAAAAAAAATTATGGGGATTAGCCCACCCGGGCACAGGTCACTGACCCACATTGGGGTCTGGGGGCGAAAATTTAATAATAATAATAATCAGTGGCGTATGGTGGGTATTGAAACCGGGTGTGCTGAGCATTATAATAAGGTAAAGACTAAACTTTAAGTTGTATAAAATAAATGACATACAGTATAGTCTGCATATACGCGGTCAATTGAACCCGTGGAGGTCCGCGTAAAACGAGAAACGCGTAAATGAAGTAACAGAACATATGGGATTACAGTAATTGAAATGGAGACTGGGCCGACCCCCAAACTCCACTTTTTCCGACACAATACGTACCTTGTAGTAAAAATAACATCTTAATTTTATGATGGTATGCACACACAATTAATATTTAAGAGAAATATCAATAATATTAGGTTTTTTATCACTTACGTTAGTAGAAAAGATGGGTCGGCACACTTGGATGGCGGCTGGTTCCAAGGCAGAGGGAAGGTTAGTTGCCCTCCGGTGAGTCACTTTCACTACTCGCAGAGGTTTGCAGGGCCTCCCAGACAAACCCCTCAAAGTCCATATCCTCACTGTCACTGACTTGGGCTGGCTGTGGTTGTGGTGGGTTGCGGGTGAAGAAGTCCTTAATACTACGTTGACGACTAGCATTGATGTTGTCGAAATAGATCTGGATATACGGCTCCATAACTTTCGTCAGATGGTTATTAGACTCTTCATACCGATGCTTGTCTGGGTCGTTGTCAAGGATGAGCTGAATTTTCTCCCCCTCATGATTTCCTTCACACAATCATGGCTTGGTCCAGGTAATTCAGGGTTTTTCTCGGGTGGTGGGGGTCCAGCGGAAGCCATTATGAGGGAAATAGCGGGCACAAGAGAGAACTGTATACGTGGACTGAGAACAATGAGACTGGCCCGGCTAGGTCAGCGACTTCTGGTGGCAGGGCACGTCATGGTACATTAGACCAATCACAGCTAGCGGCGGAGGGAATGTGTGGGTGGTAAGGATGAGTGCCCCAATCACAGTCCGATACGTCATATGACGTCAGCGATAACGTAAGAGCGGCCTAATGCGCACCCCTCACCTCGCTGCTTCCCGCGTATGGTCAAGAATGGACCACGTGGGTAAAAAATGGCACGGCGGTCTGGACCTCTCCAGCCACTCGCCGCATAATGATGAAATTTACCGCATAATTAAAACATTTCATTCTGGCAAGGCACCGCGTAAATGACCAAACGCGTAAACAAAAACTGCGTAAATCCAGACTATACTGTACTTATAAAAGGTAGTATACTACTCATATAAACAGCACAGAGAAATGCAAAATAGAAGAAATTTATTGTAGAAGTGTACATACATTAGCAGTGCAATTTAAATAAAAATATATTTTACTTACCCATTTTATTTATACACGAGTCCTATTTTTCTTTTTTGCGATGTAAACTGCATTATAACGTCGTCATAAAAGGAGCTTCTTTGTCTTACTTCTGTGAGTAAATTCTTTTCAACAGTATTTCCCATTGTGTAAGCAGGGTGAAAATGATGTTAAGTATCGAAATTAAATTGCACAGTGAGCTTTAAATACTATGTAAATCAAACCAAAGAAATATATTTTCACATTCACAGTAGTGAGTAAATGGAAACAAAGTACGGAGCAACACTTCCTCCACTGCGGGTCTACCATTAGTCAATAAATTATGCTTCCAATATCTCCCCAGGTTGTAGTACCTCCCTGTTTGGTAGCTGCCTACTACTTGCTACCTGTAACCCCCCCTGGTCTGCAGATGTTATTCGCGGATTTGGCGATTTGCAGCCATTTTGAGAACCTAACCCCCACGAATTTGGGGAGCCCCCTGTATGAAGTTATTTGATAGATTCCTGACTGGGACCTGCTGGGATTGTGTATGATTTTAATGTTATTCTAATCAGGATGATTATAAGCATTATACTAGTCTTTACACTATTATTTAATTGTAGAATTGTCTGTGGCAAAAAGTACAGTACAGTATTAAGTTACATTTTAGATTCTGGTCAAATATCCAGCGATATTCAGTCGGCTACTGGTCAAATAACCTCTGCCTATAGTATAATACTGTACAGTAGTCTCAGTGTTGTGTATTATAAAGCGATTGGTCACATTTTCAGGAAGCTTCAAGGACCAACAACACATCTCAGTATGACTAGTTCAGAGTCAACTACAGTACACAGACACTCCAGGCTCCTATATGATGCCATTAAAGGCAACTGGTTAAACATTGCTGACCTGTGGGAGGTAAGACTTAATTTCTATTACTTCACATCATGTTGTCATCATTAGGTGTACAAGCTGAGTCTGTTAATTGTGTGTATGTGCACTTGTACAGTATTCATATAAAACTGTGCATTTATGTAAATGTTTGTTTGTGTAAAGTCGTGTCCTATTATGTTGGTGTTACAGGACGTCCAAAAAATGGCCCGGATTCACTTTTCCATCCCATACAAAATTCTGAATGTGTCTTTATTTTGTTTCTCTTTAAAGTACTGTATATTAATAACTTTTTGCTTCATTTTCTTTTACTTTATTTTTATTTTTATCCTCTTCACCACTGATTGGCTCGTTAGCTGCTTGGGCGATCGATCGTGTCTCTGTTACGCACTGATGACAAGTAATGGGCATGCACTGGCTCCTGAATTTATCTGAACCTGCTCCAGTGTTGGTCAAGTCTGGTCTTGAAAGAGCTCACACTCGCTGTCGTCACAATACTCTCTGGCAGATTGTTCCAAGAGTTCACAACTCTCACGTCGAAAAAGTTACCCCTCACAGTTTTCTGGGCTTGCGGCTTCTTTAATCTTGAGCTGCGACCCCTTGTGGGGTGAGCATCTGCCAGCTCCAGGTAAGGGCACTCGACTGAGTAGTGCCCTTGAGATGTTTATACACCTCAATTAGGTCTACCTTTGCCCGTCTGTAGTTCAAACTAGGCAAATTCAAGCGCTCTAATCTCTCGGGGTAGCTGAGGTGCCGTAGTGCAGTTACCAGTCTGGTGGCCCTCCCTTAGACATTTTCAATCAACTGACAGTCACTGGCATATCTCAGGGACCAGACGGGCTGACCATACTCCAGATGGTGAAGCACTTCACTCTTGAAGATCGTTACGAAATACCGACCGTCTAGATATATGAACAACCTTCTTATAAGACCTAATAATTTAGTTGCCTGATTTACCTTCCCACAATGGCCCGAGAACTTCAGCTCATTGTCAATATACACACCTAGGTCCTTTTCACATTGTCTCAATTAATGCAGTTTCTTCGTCCCATTGGGGCATATTATACGCCTCCTTAGTACGTCCCAGCCTTAGTCTCTTACATTTCATGACATTGAATCTTAGCAGCCATTTCTTCGACCATTCTTGATGGTCAGAGATCCTTCTGCAGCTTTAGTAAATCTGATTTTATTTTCCCATACTTCCATTATAAAAGCTGAGATGACTGCCCATATTAAGTTGCTTTCTCTTTATGTTAGTTGTGTGATTTAACTGGCTCGTATGTCATAACAAAACTGATATTTTTTTCAGTGTTGTAAGACTTGGAAGTGTTGATGGCTGCATGTCACAAAAACCAGTGACCACCATGTTGGGTCTTCACAGATTACCTGAAATACAGAATTAGATAATGAGTTGTACGTTGCTACATGTCTTATTATATACAGTACTCTGTAATGATCACGGTCGTACATGTTAGTTCAGTAAATTCAGACAATTCATATTACTCTCAATAGCCCACAAAACATGTAGCTATGCCTTCTTTATTGAGTACCCTGTCTGAGGCATCCGTCTTTTCATCGCTTCAGGACATCCGAGTCCTCCGTTTTCCCTCAATCTTAAAGTGCACCCGAGACTCCGTATTCCTTAGTATAACGACACAAAATTTGAAATTGCAACTGCTGTCATATCTGTTAAGGCAACTTAAATTTAGCAAAGAAGTTTAAGATAAATACTTATATACTTGCTTCATATCTATATTTTCTATTAATCTTATTTTCTTAGTCTTTCTGTCTATAAGTATCTATCATAAATTTCTTTGTTTATATTTTCTAAGTCAATATTCTTTTCTATGCTTTATTCCTTGTCATATACAGGGGGTATATTATTGTATTCTCTGAATTTTATGTCCTTTCTATCAATTTATTATCATGCCTTAGTTATATTCTATACCAAGGATTAGTCTGGGAAAACCATGTCATTCTTACTATAACACTTATTATACTTACAACGGTAGTCTGCCACCACCCAGACTTTTATTAGAATACAGTAAAATCTCGATTAACTGACTTTCGGATCAACCGTCGATCCCAGGCCCCTAAAAAAAATTATTTTGTTTTACGGGGATTACCCCACCCGGGCACAGGTCACTGACACACATCGGGGCCTGGGGGGCGATAATGTAATAATAATGATGATAATAATAATACAGTACATATAACATATCTCATTGAACTGTTAGGTAGCGAGCTTCTAGGCATGTGAGTTACAATACAGTGAGTTCTGCTATAACGCGTGTTTTGATAACGCGAATTTGCTCTAACGCGATTTATGAATTCGGAACAATATTTGTATAACGCGAACGCTTGTTTGCTATAACGCGATTTTTGCTTACTATTTCTCCAATTTTGTGGTATTAACTGTGAATATGGTAAAGAAGAATATCTCCAAAAAGCGTTCTGATGATAGAATTCCCGGTGATTATTGTAAAAGAAAGGATATAACACTTGAAGAGAAGCTCGATGTTATCAACCTCAAAATCACCCTTCTCTCCCATCAAGTTACATTCATATTTTTTCAAGGTAAAGTGTTAAATTTACTGTATGATTTCATTATTAGATATGAATGTAACATTTATTTAGACTGTGCTATCCTTTGTGTTAGGCTAACTATAAATTTTTTGGAGTTTAGGAAGTGATCTGCTATATAATACTGTCCCATAAGCCCTGTTATTTCTGTTAGATTTTCATAACGATGTTTAAAACACAATTGTCATTATGGCAGAACTGCCTGTGATTGTTTTCTGAGAACCAAATGTTAAAGGAATAGAGCAGTGATACTCTTAGTTTACTAATTCAATATTTATTAACAAGGAGTGAACAAGATGGTAAATAAGTACACTCAGACAAGATTGGACCCCTTAGGTCTTTATTTACAATTCATAAAATAGATCTTCACTTACTTATTACATCAATATACAACTGTTATATTATTTCTTCGACAAATAAGATGTTATTTTACACGCTCAGATAGGGCTGGACCCTTAGGTCTTACTTTTACAAGTAGCAAAATAAATCTTCAATTCTTGGTTACAACATTAAACCATCATTAAATTATTTCATTGTCAATACAGATGGTTACACGACACACTTGACAATATCCCAAATTAACGTATTATTTATAACACCATGTTATTTCGGAATGAACAACATGGCACTTTTCCCTCAGTTGGTAGTATATATGAATGATGTACTCACAACCCACATAACATGTTTTTACTAGTTCTATCAATATTTATGGGCTCATTATTCAACATGGGATAACTATATTTCTGCTAATTATATCCAATCATATACAACATTAATACTTTGGCCCATATAACTGTAAGGAGTGCCCCAGGGTGTAACACTGGTGTCACCACAACAAACGAAGAGTGCTGTTAGGGTCGGTTGCAGTCCGACACACTGCGAGGGAGTTTGGGCCAAGTTCCCAGGGTGCAGACTCGCACAATTTAATCGTGCCGAATTAACGACATCCTGCAAGACAGCCAGCTGGTATGCAGCTACCGGTTCCCCGGTGACTGTCTGGTATTCAGCTAACACACAGACTGTGCCTGAGATATGATGGAACAGCGTCAGAGATGTGACGCTGCTCCTCTTAAACGAGTTTACATACGGCTAACTGGCAATTCAGGCCTGTGCGCTACCCATGCCAAAAAGGCTAATAAAGCAATGACAGAAATTACATTCAACTATGTCACTTGACAGAAATTACATTCAACTATGTCGCTGTACATTTAACTATGAAAATCAATGCCATGGGTCAGGTGAATTTCTTACGTCTATTTTTATAATCTGATCGGAGATTGAGCTTGCCAGGAAAAAGTGAAATGGACGTCAAATACACACACTAACAACACTACTTTCACAAGCTCAGCAAAACTACAAACGAGGAACTATTCATGGGGATATGTTAGATTTTGGAGATCATACAGTTTGACAGAATCTTTCAGGAGCTTAATAACTTTCTTAAATAAACAGCTGACACTAACTAAACTACAAACATCAGATTCTCTGATGTTTGGGCATCAAAATGATCTAATTTCAGGAGTACTTATAAACTCATGGCTATCCCAAGGACGATATAAAAACATGTCACTCGTACTGGCAGACTTGACACTCACTTACGTGACAAGTTTCACTAACAATAAAGACAGTTGAAGCTTTTAACATCACTCACAAGGGATCTTGAATGTTCCATCTGTAATCAGACATATCTAAGTTGCCTTAACAGATATGATTACAGTTGCTATTTCAAATTTGGTGTCATTATACTAAGGAATACGGAGTCTTGGGTGCACTCTAAGATTGAGGGAAAACGGAGGACTCAGACGTCCTGAAGCGTTGAGAAAACGGATGCCTCAGACAGGGTACTCAATAAAGAAGGCATAGCTACATGTTTTGTTGGCTATTGAGAGTAATATGAATCGTCTGTTTTTACGTTAACATGTCATATACTCAAAGGTTAGTATATCCCATCATCTTCGCCAGATGACGCAGGCTAAAAAGAGACACTTTCTACCTTAATGCTGTATTTACGAGTTACACGAGGAGGAGCCTCGGCTGTAAGTACAGTACTTAAACATAGTACTTGAGATATAAACAAAGTGAAAACAAAAGAGCATCGATCAGGTACTATAAATGCATTAACAAAGAAAACTTAAATCAGTAGCTAATATATATATATATATATATATATATATACTACCTCTCTTCGCCATATATACCATATATCTCTTTCTACTCCTCTTCTATATATATATCATATATATGTATATATATATATATATATATATATATATATATATATATATATATATATATATATATATATAATACTTCCCCCTCTAAAGAAATCTTGTGCTATTGTTACTTTGGAGTAGTATATGAAAATATAACAGCTGAGCATACAAAAATAAAATGAACATCTCATTATCTAAAAATGAAAGAAAATATATGGTTTTCCTTACAAATCTAATCTATTAGGAGCTAATCCCCTGGTTGTCCTATCAGGAAGTACTCTGGGTGCAACTGGACTTTGGGGTGATGGCATTGTTGTTACATCTGTTGTGGGTAAAGTCTCCTTGGTTGTTACCTTACTGCTGGGGTCAAAAATTTGTTCTGTACTGTATTGGTTTGATCTACAGAAGTATAAGGGTTACGTCTTTTGTCTACCTAAGAAGGCTTCAGCTGATCAACGTGGCTTCTCATAACATTACCATTGACATTAACATCAACATTATAATGTATATTCCCAATTTCACATGTAATTTCTCCTGGTGCCCACTTGTGTATGAGCGTACTTTTACTGGAGATGAAGTCTTAAACTGCCTTATATTTCCCTGATTTTGTAATTGTTTCCACCCCTTGTTCTGTTGTTCACTAAGATAATCAGGCAACATTAAGTCTAACTTAATCTTAATCCTCCTTCCCATCAACAAAATTGAAGGCGACATACCCATGGTTGTATGCGGAGTAGTCACGAGAAACATGCATATGCAAGTACGAACATTGGCAAAAGTGGCATTTCTACATTTCATATTATGTTTGAATGTTTGAACAAATCTTTCTGCTTCTCCATTTGTGGCAGGATGCTATGGTGCAGTAAATATGTGTTGAATGCCATTTACATTTAAAAAATTATTGAATTCCCAAGAACAAGACTAAGGACCATTGTCAGATACTATACACTCTGGTAAGCCATGTGTTGCAAAAATCTGCATCAGTGCTTTAATTGTGGAGAGTGAAGTAGTTGATTGCATGGGAACTATCTCAGGCCATTTACTATAAGCATCAACCACAATCAAGTAAGAATATCCTAAGAATGGACCAGCATAGTCAATATACAGTCACTGCCAAGCATATCTAGGGCACTCCCATGGATGTAATCGTACTGTTTTAGGATTAGTCTGGTGAATGGCACAAGTTTCACATTTTTTAACATACAGTTCAATATCATGTCTTTGTACCATACAGCTACATTCTGGCCGTGATCTTGGAGACTGCCTCATGCACAGATTTCCACTTTGAACTGCTCCAGTCACACAATACATGACTATTACACACTAAAATTCCACGCCATGGATTCTTCAGCGAGTCCCTACCATCAACTTCAGGCATTTTGAGAGTATAGGATGGCAAGTTGTAACTTTCTATCAAGAGAATACAAGCCTCATGCTCTTCTGGAGCCCTGTCCACAGTTAGGCAAGACAGTGCATCAGCATTTCCCATCTTAGTGGTGGATCTGTATTCCAGTGTGTAATTGTAAGCTGCCAAAGTGATGGCCCATCTTTGTAGTCTTGCAGCCACTAAACTGGGTAACCCTAATTCTGGACATAAAATTGCTAGTAATGGTTTGTGATCAGTCACTATCATAAATTCCTTCCTGCCATACAAATAGATATGGAATTTCTTAACACCAAACACAAGTGCAAGGCCCTCCTTCTCAATCAGTGAGTAATATCTCTCGGCTTTATTTAACAATCTAGGTGCAAATGCAGTTGGTTTCTCAGTGCCATCAGGCATGACATGTGCTAGAACTGCACCTAATCCAACTTGTGAGGCTTTACTGGCAAATACATTTCAAAATGTGTAAGTAAGTTTGGTGAAGTTATTGCAGCTTTTATCTTCTCAAATGACCACTGACATTCCTCTGACCAGTTCCATGCTACATCTTTATTCAGTAAATGATAAAAGGGGTTTCCAATTGTAGGTAAATCTTTAACAAATCGTCCATAAAATGTTACAAGTCCCAAGAAAGATTGTAGCTCATTAACATTCTCAAGCACTTTTGCAGATTGGACTGCTCTAACCTTCTCATTTGTCTTATGTATGCCTTGTTTATCAATGATGAATCCTAAATATTCAATGGAGGCTACTTGAAACTGACACTTATTCTTGTGAATTTTCATTTCATTCTCTTGGATACGTGTCAGTACTGCCATGAATCTTTCCTGGTGTTCTCTTTCATGTTTTCCTGCTACTATAATATCATCCACAAAACAAAATACACCAGGTAACCCATTGAATATTTTGTCCATGGTTTGTTGCCATATTGCACGATTACTAGCTATACCATATGGTAATCTTTTAGGGCGAAAAAGTCCTAAATCTGTGTTTATTGTGCAATACTCCTGTGATTTGTTATCCATGAAAGGATCTTACATCCTCGTAAAGCTGCAAACATATCTGTAGGGTTAGGTAGAGGTTGTTGTACTACTTGTAACTGAGGGTTTAGAGTTACCTTATAGTCTCCACATAATTGAGCACCACTACCCTTTTTTGCTACTGGAACTAAAGGTGTACCCCAAGCTGAGTAGGTTACTCTTTCCCATGTCTTTTCTTCTTTTAACCTCTTAATTTCCTATTTAACTGACATCTTTAAAGCATAAAGAATAGGTCTGGGAGCAAGAAATTTGGGTGTTGCATCTGGTTTCAGTGTCAAAGTAGCCTTAACATTTTTCACAGTACCAAGTCCATAAGTAAATACCTCCTCAAATTTTGATAATACCTGTACTGTACTTAAATTAAAGGAATGGCTGCCTTTTGTTCTTCTTTAGAACATTCAAAATATTTGACCAATTTAATGTAAAAGTTTCAATGTCTGACCTTGACCTTTAACAATGGTGAGGGGCAGGTCCTTTACTGTTTGGTGGCCATATTTAACATTCACCTTGGCTGAACCTATTACTTTTATATTGTGACAGTTATAATCCCTTGCATGGTTATATAAATATATCGGGAATTTTACGTGTCACCTCTTCAGACGGTACCGACGCATCTGCTGCCGTGTCAAGTTGCATGATAACAGGTAGTGTATTTCATTCATAGTGACTGATATCATTGTTCTCTTCTCTTTACTATATAGAGATTTGATCTGAATGACAAATTCCTCATTATCACTACCAATTAATTGTTTATCTCCCCGACTTTTCTCTGTTGACATCTGTGATACAGTTACTGTACATTTGAGGTAAAATTAATATGTTTTGTTTTCCGAGAGTTACACGTTGTTATTATTATTATTATTATTATTATTATTATTATTATTATTATTATTATTATTATTATTACAGTATTATTATTGTTATTTATCATTATTATTTTTTTTATTATAAATTTTATTTACTGTGAATAATAATAATAATAATTATTATTATTATTATTATTATTATTATTATTATTATTATTATTATTATTATTATCATTATTATTATTATTATTATTACTACATTTTCGCCCCCCAGGCCCCGATATGGGTCAGTGACCTGTGCCCGGATGGGCTAATCCCCGTAAAAAAAAAAGTGACCACAATTATGGCATTTCTTATCAGTTGCTGGTCATTTTACCCTGTCACTGGGATGATGACCTTCTCTACCACACCTGAAACTTTTTCTAGGTCTAGGTTTAGATTCTCTGACTGAGCTATGTTGTTGTAAATGTACTTTAGGAGATTTTTTTCCCTTACATTTTTTTGTGCTTTCATATTTGTACCTTTTTGCCATGGCTTTTTCCGTCTACTGGTGGTAGTTGAAACTCTGTTGACCTGTGAATCATAATGTGATCTATCCTCAATAGTCTGAGCTTGAGAATTAGCTGCTTCTAATGCTCTAGCAATGTCCAAAACCTTATCTAATGTGAGATTTTTCTCTTGCAGCAACTTTTTCCTCAGCTCATGAGAATTATTCTTTTCAATCACCTGATCAATAATAACTTTCTAATACAGTAGTTTATTTCCTAACCTCACGTATTGGGCGGTGAATGGCAAGTTGTGGATCATTGGCCTCAAGTCATAATGTAAGGATCGGATACTGATTCAAACTGCTGCTGCTTTTGTTGTATAATTTTCATCAGTTATCAACTTACTTGCCATTTGGTCTATGAATCAACACCTTATATGTTCCAGACACAATATATTGCTGATGTTTTACTCTTGATCATTTTGTTTGTTTAATAAAATTTTATCAGAAAATTAACACCAAACATTTGATCAACTTGACGTCGACAGTGTAGAAGAGTTCATCCTCTTTAACATAACTGAGACACCACCAGTGTACAGACATAATGACCATGGCTGATGTGTGATAACTGTTAGAGTAACAAACTGTACTTTATGGTATAGATAAATCATCTTTTACACAGTTGTTATTTATACTGTTATTCTCTATTACAATACAATTTTATATTTATTTTTTATTCATGTTATATTCAATGACATACAGTCGACCCTCGTTAAAACGGACTAATAGGGGGGGGGGAAGGGTGACTGTTTTAGCCTATTGTCCGAAGTAACTGATTTAGGGGTTAATATTGCATAATATTGCATTATATTTCAAAGAAAATGCAGTGAGTTTGTCCTTAGCCTTGCATATGTCCGAAACTGTTTGCTTTTTAACACCATACTCGTCACAAACTCTAGCCACCGAAGCACCAGCCTCTAACTTCCTTATAAGTTCCAGTTTCTGG